CGTCCGACTTCAGCTCAGGTCATGATCTCCTGCTTTGTGAGTTCGAGCCCCGCATCAGGCTCATCTGCTGTCAGCCTGGAGCCTGCTTCGGATCCTCTGTCTCCCTCTCTCTCTCTCTCTCCTCCTCCCCTGCTCTCTCTCTCTCTCTCCCCAAAATAAACATTTTTTTAAAAAGGAAGGAATGAAAAGATCAACGGACCTTGCTGGTGTGTGGAAAGGCATGTTGCGACAGCAAAAAGAGTGAATCCAAGGGATAGTATGAAGGGTAGACACGGAACAGGTGTGATTCTTGTTTCTATTTTTATCTTTTTACATTTCTAAAAATGTTTATTTATTTTTGAGAGAGACAGAGAGAGCGCAAGCAGGGGAGGGGCAGAGAGACGGGGAGACACGGGATCTGAAACAGGCTCCAGACTCGGAGCCGTCAGCTCAGACCCCGACACAGGGCTCGAACGCGGTAACGGTGAGATCATGACCTGAGCAGAAGTCAGATGCTTAAGCCAGGCGCCCCAGGCGTGATTCTGGTAACTGATGTGGTTTGGAGTGTTGGGGTTTGGAGCCGATGGGCCAAGAAAGAATTCTTGAGACACCTTCGGTGCAAAAATGTGTTTTTATTATAGCACAAGGAGGGGACCCTTAGGCGTTATAAGTGTGTGAGAAGCGACTGGTTATATGAGAGTTTCTGTCCTCTGGAGAGGAAGGTGGCATGAGGGTCCCAGGAAATCGACTCTCTATGTTTCTGAGATTACTTTTTTCTTGTAAATCAACAGAGTTGCAAACTGAGGGGGACTCATGTCCCGTAGGACTGTGATCTCTATCAGTTAACCATTTGTTTTCGCCTCTCCTTTGTTCTCGGGCAGGAGTGCCTGAGGAAACTCACGCACATCCCACCGTGGCTGTGGGGGTGGGGGGTGGGCGGTGGGGTGGGGGGTGTCAGCTTCTGCTTTGCCCTCAGCCTGCCTTTTGCTCCCTCATCAGTGACTGAGGTTCAGTCCAGGAAGGCTTCCTGGCAGAGGCAACCTGAATATCAAGTCTGTGTTCTCTGACGCGCGTCTCTCTGCCCACGGGTCAGGTAGGTGGCAGTGTGCTCGGGAACGTGTTCCAGTTTAAGCTGTTGCTGGAGCGGAGTCAGAATGGGGACTGTCTTCACCGGAGGCCAGGCTCTTTCGGACCCCTGGATGGCTTCCCCCGCTGTGTGGTGACCAGCGGCGTGGTCAACTTCTTCCTGGCCCACACAGAGCGACTGCAGAGAGCTGGCTTCGACCCCCGCCTGCGGCGAGTGGCTCACTCAGGTGGGGAAGAGATGGAAGGGTGAGGAAGGTTCTGGCCTCCGGACCGACCTCAGGAGTCTGTTCCTTCCAAGGGACACGCACCACCGATAGTGGTCCTTGCCTGCCACGCTGGGCCTCTCTCCCTTTTCCCCCAGACTAGGGAGTTCAAGGTCTCTCTTGCCTCCCTTCTCCCCCCTCGTTTTGCCTCTTATCCCCCAACGGCTGCTCCCATGTGAGACGCCCTCCCCCTATAGGTCGGCCCCCTCCCTCGTTCCTCTCTTGCTCCCTCAGTTCGGGAGTTCATAGTTCTGTCCAGCCGGAAAGCTGATCTGTCTCTCTGTCTCTCTGGCCACATCCCTGAGAAACGTGCTTATGAATTCCTTCGCACTCATCAGCCTGGCAGGTGGCTTTGCATGGGCTCCACCTCCCGAGGGGTATAAACTGTGCCCTGCCCCCTGCTGCGCACCCCCCCTTCCCTGCCCCCCTGCCCGGACCCTGGGATATGGCCCTGGGGTCTCTCTAGCTGATGTTCTCCCTCTCTTCACAGAGTTCTTTATTGATGGGCTCGGGAGCTTGCTTGTGGGGTCGTGCCCAGAAGTGATCGTAGGTCACCAGGCCCGTTCTCCAGCGGCGGACCTGGAGAAGATGTACAGCACGTTCCGGACCAACACCCACGACCAGATCCAGTTCAAGCTGGCTCTCCATTACTTCAAGAACCATCTCCAGTGCTCCACATAAAGGTGCCCGGGCATCAGGAATGCTCTAGACGTACCCGTCGTGGGACCCAGAACAGCGGGACTGGTGCTGGGGATACCCAAGTATAGACTCCTGAGAAGACGGATGTTGGAAAGAATAAGCCAGCGGGTGGGGCAGATGGGTCAGGCTCAGGGACGAGAAATGCCCGTCAGAGCCTAAGGGTCGTTAGAAAGGGACCAACCCCCGATAGGGGCAATAGAGGCATATCAACAACAGTCATTATTTGTTTGTAGGACCCGTTACCAGTTAGGGACACACAGCATCTCGCATCGTCTCATTTGACCTCACGCAAAAGAGTCCATGGTGGGTTGTATCCTTGGTCGAAAGAGTGGCTGCTGGGGTTTTGAGGGTTATTCGGTAGAAGTTATATCATGGTCAGCGGCACCACTTCCGGCATCCACAAATGTTTGTTTGTTGTCACCCTGGGGGCTCCGATAATGTGAATGACGCAGGGTCCTTGCCTCCAGGAGGCTGCAGCCTGGTCCAGTCGAGTCCGCTAAGCGGAATCGTGCAGCCAGGTTCGGAGAAGCGGAGGAGGAAGGGTGACCAGTGCCCGGGCAGCTGAGGAAGGTTCTGTGAAGTGAGCTTGTCGGGAGGCTAGAAGCCAAGGGGATTCAGGCAGCGGG